TTCCTGGGGAATAGCTTTCATAGTACTAGAAGGGACCATGAATGCTTTCAAAAGAAAGAAGCAAACCAACAGTCCTACTTAGCTATGATGCCTATGAACCACATCCATGACCAATATAGCACATTAACCCTAAGGATGTAGTAGTAGCACACATACCTTGGCAGTAAACAAAAGCTCTCTAATTGGACTTAAGACCCATTCAAAAAGAGAAAAGCCATGTCTGGTACCTTAAACCCAGCTAACTAATTGCTCAGTTCTAGTGAAGTCACGGTTATTAACAGAGAATCTATAACCACTAATTTACCAAATCAGCATAACCTCTAACAATAACCTATAAACATTTGTCATTATATCCACAGATAAGTATAGTCTTCACCCCTCATCAAGAAAACTTAACTTTGCAACAGATGGAGACCACCACAGAAAACCATAACCAATCAAAATGTAGAGTTATGGAGTCCAGTTCCAATGCATACGCCTACAAAACACTCCTGTCCCTAAGGGGAACATTGCAGAAGAGGGGACAGAAAGGTTGTAAGAGCCAAGGGATCAAGGAGTTTACTGTGAGATTGTAATTAGTAACATCAGCTCACCAACATGACCTCCCAGTCATGGGCTGAACAAGGAGGATCCCAATGAATATACAAAACTAGGTAGGGAGAAGCTCATGGGGCCTTAATTCTACACAAAGAGCTATAGGTGACTTAGGAAAGCTGGGCGCGAGAGGGGTGGTCTTCTCCAGGGAAGAACCACAATTAGTCAACCATTACCAAATGTTCCACCCTGAAAATATACATACAAGTAACATTGTATGGACTGAACAGGTTATATTTAGGAATATACACATGCAATCAGAATTAATGAAGAAAGAGAACATGAATTTGAGAGAGAACAAGAAAGGATGTATGGGAGGATTTGTGGGGAGGAAAGGGAATAGGAAAATGCAACTAAATTATAATCTGAAAAATAAAGAATAGAACACAGAGGTGCATACTCTAAAGGGCCCGATGACCAGCTTTACCCCCCAAGCTCCCAAGCCCCCACCCAAGTGATCATCTGACCTACCAAGTTCACTGACCTGCCGTAGCAGCGGAAACGACTCTGGGAGGTTGCCTCGATCCTTACCGTACTAGTTTCTCCCGAGATGACAGTAGATCATAATATCCTAAAGGTGGCCAGTAATTACTCCACCTAAAAGTGCCTGGTTTCTCCCCACGCAAGTGGTCCTTGGATTCCACCCACACAGCTGGCCTGTCAGAGGCAGTTAAATAAAGATGGACAGGGAGAAACTCTCCTCCGTCCCGGTGAATGATTAACAAACCGGAGCAGTGGTATTTGCCCAATCTCCTTCCTCACCAGCCCTCATTTCTTGATCATGTGTTGCAATTATTTATTTTCTTCTCTGCCAACCATTTCCCCTAAGTTAGAAGGGTGATTGGAATTTGATGCCAGAGTTTTCCTTTTCTTTTCCTAATCATAAGAGTGATGCAACTCAGTAAAGCGTTTTCTATGTCCATCCATTTGCATGCAAAATTCAAGATGTCATTGTTTTTTACCGCTGAGTAAAACTCTAATGTGTATATGTTCCACACCTTTTTTAACCATTCTTCTATTGAGGGGCACCTAGGCTGTTTCCAGGTTCTGGCTATTACAAATAGTGCTGCTATGAACATAGTTGAACAAATACTTTTGTAGTATGTTAGGGAATCTCTTGGGTATATTCCCAAGAGTGGAATTGCTGGGTCCTGAGGGAGGTTGACTCCCAGTTTCCTGAGAAACCGCCACACTGATTTCCACAGTGGCTACACAAGTTTGCATTCCCACCAACAATGGATGAGTGTTCCCCTCATTCCACATCCTCTCCAGCATAGGCTATCATTGGTGTTTTTTGGCTATTCTGACAGGTGTAAGATGATATCTCAAAGTTGTTTTGATTTGCATTTCCCTGATCGCTAAGGAGGTTGAGCATGACCTTAAGTGCCTTTTGGCCATTCGAAGTTCATCTGTTGTGAATTCTCTGTTCAGATCAGTACCCCATTTTTTAATTGGGTTAATTAGAGTTTTAGTGAGTGAGGTAAGCCAGGCCCAAAATGAGGAACACGGTATGTATTCACTCATAAGTGGATTCTAACCATAATTAAAGGTCTTTGAGCCTATTATTCGTGATTCTAGAGAAGTTAAATAAGAAGGTGAACCTGATGAAGATTATTTAGCTATCTGCCAGGAGATAGGAAATAGACAAGAGTCCCAGGTAACCTCGGGTGCATGGGGGGGTGGGAGGGTTGTTGGAAGCGGAGAGGGTTAGAGAGAAGGGAGTAGGGGAGGAATGGGGAAAGCTTGGTGGACTGGTATGGGGGCGGGAGGGAGGAAGGATGAATATGGGATCAGGGAAGAATATATTTCAACTAAGGGAGTCAGTTTAGGGTTTACAGAAGACTTGATTATATGGGATCCCAGGTCCAAGGAGAGATCCCCAGATTGTTCTCTGGACAGAGGAGAGGGTGCCTGAACCGGCCTTGGCCCATAACCATACTGATGAATATTTTGCTTATCACCATAGATCCTTCATCTGGCGATGGATGGAGATAGAGACAGAGACCCACATTGGAACACTGGACTTAACTCCCTAGGTCCAAACGAGAAGCAGAAGGAAAGAGAACGCGAGCAAAGAAGGCAAGACCAGAGGGAACCTTTATCCGATGATGGATGGCGATACAGACAGAGACCCACATTGGAGCACCGGACTGAGCCCCCCAAGGTCCAAATGAGGAGCAGAAGGAGGAAGAAAATGAAAAAGTAAATCAGGACTGCGAGGGATGCGATCACCCACTGATACAAGGGGACTGATCTAATGAGAGTTCACCAAGGCCAGTTGGACTGGGACTGAAGGAGGACGTGATCCAACCAGATTCTCTGAATGAGGCCAGATTCTCTGAATGTGGCTGGCCCGGAGTCTTTCTGAAAAGCCTTTGACAATGACACTGGGACTTGTTTCCTCTGCATATACTGGATTTTGGGGATCCAGTCTGTTTGGATACTCACCTTCCTGGACCTGGAGGGAGCGGGGAGGAACTTGAACTTCCCACAGGGCAGGAAACCCTGACTGCTCTTAGGATTGGAGAGGGAGGAGGAGAGAGAGTGGGGGGAGTGGGAGGGTGTTGGGAGGAGGGGTGGAAATGGAAACTTTTATAATTTATTAAAATTACTTTCTAAAAAAAAAAAAAAGGAGTGATGCAACTCAAAATCCAGCCAGGCTAGAAACCCTCTCAGAAGGACCCCTTCCCAGGACAGCAGGCCAGAGGCATTCAGGGACCCCGGGGCTGGGGGCATTGCTCTTCCCTTGTCCCCAGGAATCACAAGGAGGTACAGCAAATACAGAATAAATATACTTTTATTGAATTCCTGTTCTATGAGAACATACCTGAATCATACTCGGAGCTCAACAACTGTTAGCAGCCCACCGGCAGGCATCGAGTGGCCTCCAGAAGCTGGTCTGACACCGATTTCCACTCAGAAGGATGCAGTGGAGGGGCTAGTAGTGTTAAATACTGCGTACATCTGCAAATAAAGACAAGCCCTGACATGGCCTGTTTAATCTGCTAATCCCAAAGTTTCAGATTTGGGTGCCCAAAGGACTGCTATTGAAAAGCAGTTCCGGACCAGTGAGATGGCTCCGGGGGTACATAAGCATGTTGCCAAGCCTAATAATGATCTGAGCGTCATCCCCAAGATGAGCCAACTCTTACAAATAGTCCTCTGACTATCACACGTATGCCATGCCATCAATGCTTCCCATATAAATAAATAAATGTAAAAAAAAAATTAGTTCTTACCAGATGTAGTGGTACAAGCTTGTAATTGTAGCATTTAGGAGGCTGAGACAGGAGGATTATAAACTCAAGATCAATTAGGGCTACACAGAAGATCCCATCTAGGAAATCAAGGGCTGGGGATGCTGCTCCGTGATGGGACACTTGTCTAACATGTGCAAGGCCCTTGGGTTTGATCAGCATAGCAAAAACAAAACAAAACAAAATCTCTTTGTGGCATCATAATTTACTTCCTATAAGAAACAGTATAAATGACTTCTAGCAGAGGGCCATCGGTGGGGTGAGTTTGCTTCGGGCCATGGCAGGGTCCTGGTGAGGAGGAGCTTGGGCGTTCCCCGACCCCATAGAAGCCCAGGTCGCCCTGCAGTGCTGGCTACCCCCTCCCGCCTGCCATCCCAGCTCCCATCCAGATCCTTCATCTGGCGAAGGACGGCGATACAGACAGAGACCTACATTGGAGCACCGAACTGAGCCCCCCAAGGTCCAAATGAGGAGCAGAAGGAAAGAGAACCTGAGCACGGAAGGCAAGATCAGAGGGAACCTTCATCCGATGATGGATGGCGATACGGACTGAGCCCCCCAAGGTCCAAATGAGGAGCAGAAGGAGGAAGAACATGAAAAAAGGAAATCAGGACTGCGAGGAATGCTCTCACCCACTGATACAAGGGGACGGATCTAATGAGAGTTTACCAAGGCCAGTTGGACTGGGACTGAACGAGGACATGATCTAACCAGATTCTCAGAATTTGGCCGGATTCTCTGAATGTGGCTGGCCCGAAGTCTTTCTGAAAAGCCATTGACTATGACACTGGGACTTGTTTCCTCTGCATATACTGGATTTTGGGGATCCAGTCTGTTTGGATACTCACCTTCCTGGACCTGGAGGGAGCGGGGAGGAACTTGAACTTCCCACAGGGCAGGAAACCCTGACTGCCCTAAGGGATGAAGAGGGAGGAGGAGAGGGAGTGGGAGGGTGTTGGGAAGAGGGGCGGAAATGGAAACTTTTATAATTTAATAAAATTACTTTTAAAGAAAAAGAAAAAGAAACAGTATAAACACTAATGGTGCCACAAACTGAGCTCATCAGGGAAGTTTGACAGGGATGTGAGATTTAGGGTGGGCCTTGAATGGTCAGCAGAAAGGATATTAGGGGTAAAGAAAGCACCCCACTTCACAGAGGTCACAGACTGATTTAATTTGCTAAGAATCCGAATAAAGGACAATTCTACAAAGTTAAGTTGAATTGGAGGAAATGACATCTTTAAAATCCAGTCTTCAAAGTATCATTTTCCAATGTATCCAAGTTCTTTTCTCTGCTCTCTGTGCCATGACGGGCACAGCGTTTTCTCTCCAAGGGGTCTGTCTTGTCTTACTTTCCGCGTCGTTCTGCCTTCTCTTTTACTAAAACTCATTCTATATTAGTTTTATCCGTGTCATTTCTTTTCTCTCCTATCAATCCCGATTTGAAGAGCTGACTCTTCTTCTCTTCCTGTTCACAGGCTCTTGCTCTGAAGTGTTCCTGCAATCTCGCCAAAACTTCAAACTCCTTTCCATTCTTGAACATGATGCTGCACTTCTAAAGAATGCAGCCCTTACCTGCGAGTTCAAACGTCTTCAACTGATCTCCTAGAATTTCTCTGAAGTCTTTAGAATTGCCAAACATTTCCTGTTTGAACCATCCTTCCCCTTTGACTCCTATGATTGAGCTGTCCACTTGGCAAAATTTGAAGTCAACTCGAGATGGGCTTTGGGGCATGTCTTGGGGGCTGATCATCTTGATTATGCTAATCAAGGAAAGCCGTGGTGATACCATTCCCTAGGCAGGAGGTTCTGGGTGGAACAAGATGTGCACAGGGCAATGACAGCACTCGCATGCCTTGTCCTCTTCCGGCTGAGAACACGATGCGATCAGCTACTTCAAGCTCTGGATGCCTTTAGTTCCCTCTCATGGTGGACTGCAACTGTGAGCTAAAAAATAAAAAACAAAAACCAAAACGTTGGCTTGTGTAAGGGTATCACATCACTGCAGCAGAGGAAACTAAGACAGCTCCCACAACCAACCCTAAACTTTCCTGATGCGTCTAATTTCCCTTAATTTTTGATAACTCCTTTTCCTTCCTCTCATCCATAAACATAGATACATTTCATTCCCTTCTTTTTTTATTGTTTTATTGTTTAGAAAGAGTTTGTGTGGCTCTGACTGGTCTGGAACTCACTACATAAACCAGACTGGCCTCTACCATGCCTATCTATTTTTTATTAAAGAAACAAAACAAAGAAACAAAACCCTCTTCACTTTAATGAAAGTCTCATCCTTTAAATATTCCCAGTAGGAGGCCCACTCCATAGTATATCATTGTCTTTGATAACTGTCGTCAGTTCTAGTCACATTACTGCTGTCTGTGTGATATCTTCAGTACCTCACACACAGCATTCGGGGCTGTTTTTGAATACTTCGTCCCTAACAAAACCAGGTCACAAACTGTTTTGGTATAAGTTTCACAGCACCCTCATTCCCTCTGTTCCATTTTAATCTCCGCTGCCATAGAAATAGTTCACACCATCAGCATCTTTTGTGTGGATGTCTCAGTCTGTTTTCTGTTTCTGTCACGGAATGTCCCAGACCGGGTACCGTATAAAGAACAGAGATTTGCTTTTTACATCTCTGGAGTCTGTTAAGTCGAAAACTGAACGGCCTGCACTTGTCTCATGGTAGGAGGCAAAGGACAAGAGGACAGGCACGGGGCAAAGAAGAAATGGAACTGAACTCAATTCTTTTATCGGCTCTCCTGTGATAACTCACATATTCTGTACCAATCCATTCTGAGGGCACTGATCCATAAACCCTAATCAGCTCCTGTGCTGGATAGTTCATGTCAGACTGACACAAACCAAAGCGGTGGTTTTCAACCTTCCTAATGCCGGGACCTTTGAATACAATTCTCATGTTGTAGTGACCCCCGACCTTGAAATTATTTTTGTTGCTACTTCATAACTGTTCTCTTGCTACTGGTTATTAGTATCCAGGCACACTTTGGCCCTGCCCCTTGGACACAGTCACCCCTTGGCTTACGGCAAGCAGTTCCACTGTACACAGTGCAAAGGTCCCTTTAAGAGACAAGTTCTAGTCTGGCGGTGGTGGTGCACACCTTTATAATCCCAGCACTCAGGAGACAGAGGCAGGCGGTGTGAGTTCGAGGCCAGCCTGGTCGATCTCCCTCTTCCTGCCAAAGCAAGCAGTGTTCAGGTCTCTCTTCTCTCTCTTTCCTCTTTTCTTCTTCTTCTTCTTCTTCTTCTTCTTCTTCTTCTTCTTCTTCTTCTTCTTCTTCTTCTTCTTCTTCTTCTTCTTCTCTTCACCCCCCTCCTTACCCTCCCCCCTACCCTCCCAAATCCTCTTCTTAAACACACTCAAGCTCTCTCCACATGGATTCATCTCAGCTGTGGTTCGCTTAAAAAGAAAACTGTATTGGGCAACCACACATCTCTTGGGCTTAAAACCCTTTGGGCCCGACCCTATATGACCATATGTAGGGGCACGGCTTGTGCCCACTCTTTCCCACAGTCCCTGAACCTTGTAGGTGATGATCCAAGGCCAGCTTGAGCCACAGTCCGTACTGAACCTCTGGGAAGCTGGAGTTCATTCTGTGGGACTTTTTTCTTTTCTACCTCACTCATGGAAACTGTACCTCCTTCCCTTAGACATTCCTCCCACCGTGTCTAAGTCTGCCTGGGGCAGGATCCTCCCTTTGCCTGGAAACATTCTTTTTCACTCTTCTGTTCAAAATCAATCTCTCTCTCTCTCTCTCTCTCTCTCTCTCTCTCTCTCTCTCTCTCTTTCCTATTCTGTCGCTGTCACCACTGCACCATCCAGCCTGGAGGGTGGGTCCCTCTTCCTGCCCAACTGTGGGCTGGCAGTTTATGCTGGGGGATTTTCCTGTCTACTTCATGTATGAAAGAATGTGTGTGACCGCACAGATGTGATTCTGTTTTAAATGTATGTTTCATGCATCCTGTGCGTTTGTTGCTCAACTGCTCTAAGAGACACATAGATTCTAACTGCCTTGCAACACATGGGCAGGCACAGGGCAGAGTCGATGTGCTCACCACTGTCTTTGCTATGGGTGACGAGTGATTTTTGCAATCTTGACTAAGGACAAAGAGGGCAGGTCAGATGACCTAACCTTCATCTTTACTATGGGCGACCATGTGACCGCTACCATCTTAACTAAGGGCAAAGAGGGAAGGTCAGAAGACCTATCTGCCATCTTTGCTATGGGTGACCATGGTTCCCAGCGAGCACTTCACCAGGTTGGGACTGGGAGGAGCCACAGACTCATGTGGTTTCTCCCCAATCCAAGCAGCTCCACAGTCTACCCCCACACAGGGATTCTATCTGCCTGTAACAGCTCTCTCTCACCTGTAACAAATCTGCTTTTCACTGGTAGCTTTGATTCTCCACTTTTTCCTTTGCTCCAAAGACCTGCACATGTCTGTCTACTTGTTACACAGTGCGAGTCAGAGATGGAGAAGCCAGCTTCTTCTTGCTCACTTTTTATTTTTTTTTTTTTTTTGATTTTTGAGACAGGGTTTCTCTGTAGTTTTTGGTGCCTGTCCTGGAACTAGCTCTTGTAGACCAGGCTGGCCTCGAACTCACAGAGATCCACCTGCCTCTGCCTCCCAAGTGCTGGGATTAAAGGCGTGCGCCACCACCGCCCGGCTTCACTTTTCATTTTTAATGTGTGAATGTGAGCTAGTTTTAACTCTGTATGTGTATCTATGTGTATCCGCATATGTAACTTAAATTCAACTGTGCATCTATAAAACTCTGTGTTATTGTTTATAAATACATGGGGGTGGGGGGGAGACCCATTCCACGAGGGGCAGCAGTGGGTTACCCAAGGCCTCGGTCGGGCAGCGTCAGGTCCCCTTGGCAGGTGGGAGACAGACAGATAAATCTTAATTAGTGATCAATGGAGGTCCCAGTCCAATGTGGGGGGCTCCATCCTGGGCTGGTGGTCCTGGCTTCTATAAGAAAGCAGGCTCTGCAAGCCATGAGAAGCAAGCCAGTAAGTGTAAGCAGAGGTCGCTTGTTTGTTCCTGGCCACCCAGACCCCAAGTAATCACACAGAAACTATATTATCTAAAACACTGCTTGGCCTATTACCTCGAGATTCTTATTAACTAAAGCTTACATCTTGAATTAACCCATTTCTGTTATCTTGTATTTTACCACAAGGCTCGAGGTTTACCAGTAAGGTTCCATTTGGCATCTGTCTGCTTTGGCAGCTACATAAAGTCTCTCTGCCTCTGTTTTCTTTTCTCCTCTATCTGCTTGGAATTCCCACCTTGCTCTATTCTGTGCTGTCATAGGCCCAAGGCAGCTTCTTTATTAACCAATGGTAATAAAACATACTCACAGCATACAGCGGGGAGTCCCACATCAAGTAAGCAGCACCCTCCACAGCCTCTGCATCAGCTCCTTCCTCCAGGTTCCAGACCTGCCTGAGTTCCTGCCCTGACTTCCTTCAGTGATAAATGGAAGTGTAAGCCAAATTAACCCTTTCCTTCCCAATTTGCTTTTGGTCGTGGCGTTTCATCACAGCAATAGAAGCCCCATTGGAGTCGTCTCAAACATGAGCCTTGGGGCACATACTCGGACCACTGCAGTAACGCTTTATTGGCTTCTCCATCTCAATTACTTTCCACCTCCACCCACTCTCCGGAGGGTTTTCCTTGCCGCTGTCAGAAATCATCCTCTGTGTGTCCTTGTTTCACTGCTCGGAAACCATGTGTGTTCTGCCTAACAGAGAAGCGCAAATTTTCTAATATGCATTCTAAAACTCGCTGTCAGCTGGATTCAACTAACCTTCCTGTCCTTCACCACTGCTCAGGTTTCATCCAAGCCAACCCGGGTCACATGCTCTTGCCTGAACACACTCCATCTTTCCTGCATCTCAGCAACCCTTTCTGGAAAAAAAAAGTGAATCAAACATTCATTTTAAAACATTAACGCGCCTTAGGGAAGCCGTAGGGCTCCTGTATCTCCTACTCTTTAAATAAGGAGAAGAAAATACACTCATAGTACACTCCTATCTCAGACCTGTGGTGATGTGGGACTGGGAGTTATCCAAAAGGTAGTAACAGTGTTGCCACATAAGGCTTAGAAACCTGGCTTCATAAACCAGGTGTAGGAAGAGTTTGCAGCCTAAATCTATTTTTGTCTCAACAGGTTGTTTTATTTATTTTGTTTTGTTAGAAACATTTTAATGTTAATTATTCCTTGAGAATTTCACACAGTATATTTTTATAATATTTTTCCATCCTTCCACTCCTCCTAATTCCCCACTCACAAGACTTCATGTTCTTTCTTTCTCTTAAAAAAAATAAAAGGTACCTGACAATGGTGGCTCATGCTTTTAATCTTAGCACTCGTGAGGCAGAAGCAGGTGGATCTGTGAATTCAGGTCAGCCTGATCTACAGATTTCCAGGACAGTGAGCACTACACCAGAGAAACCTTGTCTTTAAAAACCAACAAGAGAAGAAATTACCAAAACCATGGACTCTGATTTGTGCTAACTATTCCTGAACACAGGGCCTGCCCTGGAATGTGGTTGCTACACAATGTGACTCCATTGGAAACAAGTGATTTTCCCTCTCCCAGTTGCTATTTAGAGATCCGCTTATTAGATAAGGGTGGGACTTGTGCCTACTTCCTTTCCTCCATGCTGGATTTTGTCCTGCCTGTGTTGGTGTCTTGTCTCGGTATTCTGTCACAGTCTCTGAGTTCATAGGTGCATCTTTCCCATTGTGTCTGGAAAGGCTGTATCCTTAAAGTCATCTACTACCCCTGTTTTTTAAAGCTGCCAACTCTCTTCTGCATAATGCCTGAGTTTTAAGGGTAGTGGTGTGATAAAGATACCCCATTCAGAGCTGAGCAACTGCAAAGTCTCTACTCTGCATATTGTCCAGTTGTCTGTGTAAATTATCACCTCAATCCAAAAAGCTTCTCTACTGAGGACTGAGTGACACACTGATCTATGGGTACAGCAGTATGTCATTGGGAGTCATTTCATTGCTGTAGTCCTTTTGCAGAATATTTGTTGTCTCAGGGTCTTGGCCACTTACACAGTGTCAGGGATGGGTTCCATCTCATGAAATAGGTTTTAAAGTCAATCAAACAGTGGTTGGTTATTCCCCTAACGTTTGTGCCACTATTATACCAAGGGTCATATCTTGTATGTAGATGGTTATTATAGCTTGCAGGTTCATAGCTGAAGGAGATGTTAATGATTATTTGTCTCCTCTGGCAGCATGTATAGCACCTTCCAGCACTGTGAATGCTACCCAGAAGGGATGAAGCTTGCAGTTCTCCGTGTGGTATGTCATAGTATGTGGTTTCTCTAGCAATAGAGACTTACTATCAAGTTGTCGGCATTGGAAATCATCTTTAGTGCTTGGGCTGTGTGGGACTCAATAGGTGATTTTAAAGATGTAATCATATATTTTTCCAGAATAAAAGGTTAGTTCTTGTCTCAGAATTCTTTGACTAATAATTCATGTCTGGTGTGGGATAATTGTCTGTATTCTGTCAATCATATTTTAAATAAATGCGGATTGGCCAGGCAGGAAGTATAGGTGGGAAAACCAGACAGGAAGTAGAGGTGACAAAGAGAACAGGAGAATTCTGGGAAGAAAAAAGCCCATTCCTGCCAGTCCTGCCCAGATCACCGAAGAAGCAGGATGTGATCTGCCCCAGCTGAAAAAGGTACCAAGCCATGTGGCCAACATAAATAAGAACAATGGGTTAATATAAGTTACAAGAGTTAATAAGAAGCCTGAGATAATGGACCAATCGGTTATAACTAATGCAGAATCACTGTGTGATTTTCTCTGGGGCTTGCCGGCTATGGGGTACCAGGCAGGACAGAAACCCCAACAAGCCGGCCCTCATGTTACACATGTCTTATGTGAGGTACACTCAGATCAGGTACATGATTTATTATCCTCCTCACAGCCAAAGAATTAAGCTCTGCATTCTGCATTAGCATGCTGCCAACTCGTGTGGAGCAGATAACCCCCATAGTTGGCCCTACATTCTAAGTCAAATTCCAACGCATGCCCCCAGAGTACATACAATACATCAATTCTACGGTCACATGACCTTGCATTTCAGCTCAGTAAGGAACAATCTGCAAGCACCTTCAGAAGTAGTTTATTCGCAGGTGTATTTGTTACCATTTTGCTTAGCTATGATATTTCAGCAAAAAATCTTCCTTCAACTTAATTTTCTTCATCTCCAGGGAATACTTCAGCTCCTCCATCGTCAGTCCGCTTTCCTTTAGTCTTCTCACAAAGTTCTCTGTGGCACTGCAAAGGTCCTTGCTCTCATGAAAGGCAAGCTAGAGAAAGGAAAACTTTTAAAGTTACAAATGGGGACCTGAGATTAAGCTCTCCACTCTGAAACCAAGCAGCTGCAAACCCAGGGAATTTCACACGGGTCTGAGCCTTTACATTTTCTGGTTTACTGAAAATGATCAGTCCTTTACATTTTCTGGTTTAAATGTAGTTATTAATGTTTCTCCAAGAATACATACAGGCCAAAGTTAGTCTGAAGGAAATAAATGAGTTCAGAATGTATTAGAATCTAGACTTGATCAGCTTCTCACAGCAGCTAGTACTTACAGATCTCAGGCACTGAGTAGAATTCTATATCTTCTTTGCTATGCTGAAAGAGTCAATAAACCCCATAGGAAGGATTTGTGGGATGCTTTGATAATGATGATGAACGGGAATGCTATCTAGAAGCACGACTTAGTATTTCATGAAGCCCCTTCCGCAATCAAGCCAAGGTTAAGCCATTCGAAAGCATTACCCAGCATTGGACAGATATTCACTAAGCATATACCAAGAGCAATGCCAAGCCCGAGACTGCAGCTAAGAACAAAATGGAAAACAGCCCCTACTTACAATTGCTTTCTCAAGTGCAATCTGGTCAGCCGGTCTGGGGGCAGGCTCACAGGTAGGATATGAACTGTTCCATTCCCCATCAACGCATTGCAGCTTCTGTGTGCCCACTAAGTGGTACCTAGAGATTCCAGAACAACACTTAGCCTCTGCAGCTTCTGAGGTGAGCAACGGAGACAGGTTTTGTGTCGTTGTATTTCAGTGTTTCAAACCGTGATTAAATCCACCTTCCTGCCCCTGAGCCTTAGTGCATGCTTAGATTATCTCCATCCTAACAAAACAGCCATGAAATAAAACAGTTCTCCTGAAATGATGGGCAAACCCAAGGGACAAGTCAACCCAAAATAACACGGAGGAAAGTGTGAATTTCAGGGCCAGAGGAGGGAAGAAGTGGTCGATTGATCATAACCTAAACAGGCATCTGTATTAAGGTCTAAAATGCAGACGCAGATGAATGGGTAGACGAGAGCAGTGGTGTGTGATCAGGAAGCAGAAGGGGATCCAAAACTAAGAATGGGATTCAAAGGCTGATGAAGTTACATGTCCTGGATTAAGTCAAGAGGAAGAAAGGGCAGGAAGCCCATCAAGAAGGGAGTCCAGATCACCTGAAGGAGGGTCAGCCCTTGTTACAATGCTTTAAGAGTCCAAAATCTAAATCATTACATTTCTGGTTTCTTTTGTTTCTTTACGGTTTCTGTTCTTGGGCTCTGTGGGAAATGTTCCATTATCTGGATCTGAGACAGTCAGCAACTCCATTCCTGCAGGCGTTCTCAGACTATAGGAGAACCTGTTGATGTGGGGAGGTGGATACTGGCCATTTCTCTCCTTTGGAGACAGGAGACAGAGCAGGAAGGCAAGGCCTGCTAGACAAGCGGATCACACCCATGAGAAATTCGTCACTGCAGTGTTGAGTACCAGAATCCGACTTCCCTCTCTTCCCTCTGTATACAGATGCTGCTATGCTTGTTAGCTTGGTGGGGATCCTTGCTTTCTGGCCTGATGCTATCAAGGATTGCTTGATAATCAAAGATGTCCAAACTCCCATTGAGTCCTCTGATTTCTTTCTTTGGTATCTTGAAATAGTTGTCACCCCTAAAGTCTCCGAGGCCCTCCTTAGGAGAGTTTTCATAAAATTGGTTTTGTCAGCAGAATTCCATGAGGGAACAGACTCGGGAAATTCTGGATGCAGACACAGGTTCTGCCAGAGAAATCCTTGGCTGTCCTACACCACCTATGTGATTTAATGTGTCCCCATCATGTGATTTACGGGAAGCACCCTGTGAGTACATGGTCCAAGAAAGATTGCTAGCCAAGTTGAAGGCACAGAAAAATCAGTTGTGGGAGAGCAAAAGGAAACCTGAGTGGCCACAGCAGCTAATGAGTGACAATCATGCTGACTCAAAGACGCCATCAACAAAGAAATAACACGGCTGTTAAGTGGAAAGATTACAGGAAGAACTAAAGTTAGGAAGCGATGCCAGAGGGGCACAAGTCAACATCAAAGAAGCGGGAGCTGGCAGACGCAAGTTCACAGTGTGATTCTGCAGCAGACTACCAAGACAGAAAAGACCTACTGCGGAGACGCCCTGAAGATAAGGACTCAATCTGCCTGCCTCGGCTGCCTGCATCCTCCTAAAACACCCCTCCACTCCTCCAGTGGAACTGAGAGCCAAGCTCAAGCAGAAACAGAGTGTGAACCTCCTGCTGAGACCGTGGGACTGTGCAACAGCAACCGTCAGCCATGCAGTGTAACTGTGGAGCTCCCGGCAGTGCGGTTAAGGACAGCCTTTAGACATACTTGGTCCAAGTCCAAAGGCATTCCCACGCCAAGGGAAATAGAGACATCTCAGAGAAACTGCAGTCATGTTTGAAGAGACTTGGTATGAAACATGCAATGTGTGTTCTGACTCTACCTGGTGCTTATAATGACTTGTAAAGCAGAGACGAGAAACGTCGTCTTGCACTGGGTACCTCCAGTCAGGCAGGAGCTCCGATAGCCATGCGGTTGCTGGGCTATGCCAACACTACCAAAAGGAGCTCAGGCAGATTCGGTAGAGTCAGAGACAAAGGGGTGTGCTGTACTCAGAATAAGTAAATGTGAAAGTGGTGAGAGACTAAAAGGCCACTCAGTAGAAGAGGGTGGCCCGGGAAGTCTCCCAGATGCAAACGGCCCTAATTAAACTCAGAGGGAGTCCCCCAGCACAACACAGGAGTATGAGGGAATACTTGTTGGAAAGAAGGAATTTGATGGGAGTGGGAGACAGATGGGTGAGAGGGGGTGAAGGGGGGCAAGAAAATGATGAAAATGCAAGATTTACATGTATGAAATTGTCAGGCAGTAATGCATTTTAAAAAAACAGACAAGGGGACAAATTTGGCCAATAAAACTTTGGAAATCAACTCCCTCAAGAAAAGACTCCAAGCTCCTAAGACAGTGTGTACCTTTAGAGCTCCAGAGCAGGCACCCATGTGTGTGCGAGGAAAGAAAAAGGAAAAATCTGGGCCTATCCTCCAGTTGGAAATGCCATGAGAGACAGGGCTTCCCCTGAGCCAGAGAGTACAGTGAGCCTCTGGTTCTGGAGAAAACAGAGAATAGAGACTTGTTCCAAGGTTCCACATCCCTGAAACAGACTTCATATACAGTTGGCTGCATACTAGTTCCCAGTAGCACAGAAAAAGTCACTATGCAGACAGCTACTGGTGTCAAAAATGCACATTTCTAGCGACCCAGATAAATTTAAGAACCATTTAACAGGAGCTAAGAGCTCCAGAGGACAAAGAGCCCCAGCGCTCACTTTGAGACTGGGTCACATGCCCCCCAAAGGTCTGTACCATAATCCCTGAATATATTGTGAGAGTGGACATACTATGGAGAAAGTGTTTGCAAACTACCATGGGAAAAGGTGCATGGTAAACAAACATGTCTTGGCCATAAAGCCGATCTCAAGAAACCACACCAGTGACCTCACTGAGTTCAAAACTATATACCAGTATTTTCTAAAGGTACAGAGGAGCGCGAAGAGATCACGGAAAGAATCCACGAATTGGGGAGAGTAAACATCACTATGCTTGTATGTAACCCCTTTCGTTTGTTGCTGTGCCCTATCTAAAAGCCAGATGGGACATAGTTTGGACAACTGGTTACTGGGAACATTAAGGTGTATTTGGCCATACTTAACACTGCTCTACTGTTTAAGTCTTGGAAACACAACTGGGCCGTCACCATTGTGTTCTCTGTACTGTATTTGTCCAACGATTTCTTCAGCTCACATATAGTAGTTGAAAGGCAAGAATATTTTGCCTTCATCTCGAAAAGCCATCCGTGGACTTTCACCATGTTTCTCCAGGGTTATTTACACAGTTTCACAATATGACATGGGATAGCAATATCTGACCTAGCGGAATGGACCAAACCATCAACTGTTCAAATATTGCACTACACTGAGGAGACATTAATCCAAACAGGGTCCAAGGACCTGGATTGTTTATGAAATATTTGAGTGTCGTCTATTACGATAAAAAGGAAGGATTGCCACAGATGTAACAAACAAGGCACAGAGGCCCAGGCTTCCTCCTTCTCATCTGGGTTAGGCAAATCAGAAATGTGTGGGGCTACTTGACGATTAGAGGGCTTCCCTCCCATACCCGGCCCCTCCCACCTAAGGCCACGCTACAGTTCAAATGCCAATCAAGAGGTATGAGACTGTATAGAAGCTTATCCCAAGGCATTTAAGGAAGCAAAACAAGGTAGAGCAAGTACAGGGTATGAAGATAGTTCATCCACAAAAAATGTCCTAACCATGCATGTGTCTGTTGGAAAAACAATGGTGTACTACTTATGAAATCTTAATAGATATGAAACCCAATGGCCCAGAAGCTGTTGTCAAGACACTGGAGGCTAGATAAATTAGCGGTGGACCCACCCACAGTCGGGCACAGCGCTGATAACTACTTGGTTAAGTGAGACTACCTTAGATATGTAGATAGCACATTCTCCCTCGTTAGAGAACTCCAACAGTGTTGGTACCCCATGAACTACCAATAGAAGACATGTAGGTGGAGCTTATCCCTCATCAGCTCTGTCTGTACCACAGTCACTCCCAAATATCCACACAGAGACTTAATATTAATTATAAATGATCAATAGCTTAAGCTTGTCTCCAGCCAGCTCTTTAAAAAAAAACAAACATGTTTTTACATTTATTTTATATACTGACCACAGTTTCCCCTCCCTCCTCTCCTCTAAGACCCCCCACTTCCCATCTGCCCCCTTCCCCTTCCGCTCCTCCTCCATCTCCATCAGAAAGGGGCAGTCCTTCCACAGGCTTGAGCAAAGCATGGCAAAGCAAGTTGAGGCAGGACCAAGCTCCTCCCTTTGCATCAAGGCTGGGCAAGGTAATCCAGCATGGGGAACAGGTTCCCAAAAGCCAGATAAGTGCCACGGACAAATCCTGATCTTATTGTTAGGAGACCAAGCTACATAACTGTCATACACATGCAGAGGGTCTAGGGCGGTCCCATGGAGGCTAACTGTTGGTCCAGAGTCCATGAGCTCCCACAAGCTCAGGTCAGCTGTCTCTGTGGGTTCCCCCACCATTACCCCCTGGCTCATATATCCATATCCAATGAATCTATTTCTTAATAGAAATTAGTTTCTTAGTAGAAATTAACCTATGTGCTGCCCCAAGGCACATTTTCCTCATCTACAAACTTCCCATGTTGCTTCCTTGGTCTGGCTCAAGACCCTCAGACCCTGCCCTTCTTCTTCCCAGCATTCTCTCTGTACTGAAAATCCTGACTAGTTACAGCCAATCAGTTTTTTATTAACAATGACAGCAACGCACTTTTACTACAAAAGGATTATTCCACAGCAAAGGGGGCGTGACTATGCCCAGTGAAATGTTGGACCACACTCATCAGTGAAGGAAAGAGAAGCAATAATAAATTGGTGAATTGGCAAAGTGGAATCACCTTAACAGAGGGCAGCAACCTACTACTGAAAGACAGAAAGCGCCTGTGCTGATGAAGGTCAAGTTTATAGCACTTAGGAGGCTAAATTCCACCACACAGTGTGGACCCTAACAATGTGAGATCCTAGCAATCCTAATTATTAGCACAGAGAGTTGGGCCATATTCAGAGGCCTTCCATTTTGACCCCCTCACTGACAGAGTCAGCAGTGGTCCATTAACAGACACCCACTGTGGGAACAAGAGCCACGGAGAGATATGAGGGGCAACAAAAAACGCAAGCCAAAAACATGATAGCATGTTGCTGCTCAGCTAATCTTACAAAGACCTGGAAATGGCGAGGCTGGTCAGACTGAAAAAGTCCCCACCAGGTTACATGGCTGAATGGGGCACGCAGGTCAGTCATGTAGGCCATCGCAACACAATGGAGACCCATAAGACAGACATTGTACCTACTTACAAAAAAATACGTGAGATGTTCTCAGTGATATCCACAGCACAAGCTAAGATGGAAAATGCACTACATCGGCCCTCTACCCAGCTCAGGGGAATCCCAGTTTAAGTTGACATTTGCTAACACTGTTTCTAGACTTCTGCAAGCTTGTCAGGAAAAGAGTCAACCAAAAGACCATGAGGTAGTAATCACTGGACTGAACTCTCCGTATGGGACCATCTAGGTAATTAAAATTGCCAAGACCATTGTATAGGTCAGGAAGTGAAAGAGCAGGTGAGGAACCAAGGCCTACTGTGGGTCTTCCATCTACCCTTCAACCCAATAGGATCAGGACTCACCAGGAGCAGGACCCATCAAACAGTAACAGAATCATCCATTCAAGGTAGACTCCCACTTACCTCCCTAAAGTACTGAGAATGCTCAACCAAAGGCCAAAACAAAGACGAAAATCCAGCAGTGATAGAGCAATAGTTGCAATCACCCAACACAAGCCCCTAGCACTGAGACTACAAATTAAAAGGGGCAGATTTCTTTGGCCAGTATGGACACCTGGCAGAAGTTTGCTCTTCTCAAAACAAACTTAAGTCACACCATTCACAGATTACCTTACGTAGCCCTAGAAGGCCCCAACCACGGCTAAGTCCGTCATGCTAGAAAATGGTCTCGCAAGTGTGCGCAGAAGCAGGAATTACTCACAAAGGGACATGTCATATAAACAAACAGCAACTCTATCTCCCTGTAGGATCCTTTTCTTTTCTCTCCCGAGTCCCAGCCTGACCACTGGTTGAATAACTGGGAATAATGAACACTTTTCCTAGTGTGGTGCTTTGGATCAGATGTCCTCCATAGTTTCCCACACTTGAATACTCCATCCTCACTTGGTGGCACTGTTTGGGAAGGCTTAGGAGGTGTGCCCCAGTCGGAAGAATTATGTCACTAGAGGGATGCTTTGAGGGTTTAAAGACTCATGCCATTTTGAGTTCATGCTCTGTGCTAAGTGCCTGCAGTTGAAGACGTGAGCTCTCTGCTTGCCGCTCCAGCCACCATGCACCCGCTGTCATGCTCCCTGTGATGACAGCAATGGACTCTTACCCTCAGGATCCGCAGACCCAAACCAACCCTTCCATCTACACGTGGCCTTGGTCGTGGTGCTTTGTCCCAGCAATAGGAAGGGAAGTGCTCCCACAAGGACATGAAGGTGCTCTGCGCTTACCTGTCTCGACAGTAATAGGTAACAACAGATCCCGAAGTAAAAGAGCCTCCTTCAAAATAGCCATGGCTCGGAATCCCAGGAGGGTCACAGTCTCCTAAGGGGAAGACGGCCTGGAGTGAGATTTGTGAGAGCCAGGTGCAATTCACAGGGCAGGGATTCCTGTGCTGTGTGGGCTCTAGAGTCCACCATCTTCACGCTGGTACAAGCGGGACCCAGGAGCATGTTCTCCATTCATTCCGTTCTCATGAAACCATAATCGCCTGTGGAAAAGCCTCTTTCCCCAGCTCACCCTCTGAGTCTGGGAAAGGAACTACACACTGTAGAGCTGACAGCTGGGAGGGTGCAAGAGATGGCAGATTAGGGCAGAAGGCGTGGCTCAGTTGGTAGAGTGCCTGCCTAGCATGCATGGGGTTCAAGCACCAGCATCGGATAACAAGAATGTGGCACACGTCCGACCCCAGCCCTCCTGAAGTAGAGGCAGGAGGATCAGAAGTTGGGAGAGAAGGGGAGGGAAGAGGAAGAAAGGAAAGAGGAAATTTTGGGTCATAGTGGAAGAAGAAGTAATTCACATGGCAGATGAAGATTTTACTCGGTTGTATACACTAACATGGCGGCACAAGGCAATAGTCACCCCCAGAGTGACAATACTAATCAGTACTTACTACTTCGGCATGTGGGTAAGGAAGGCGCCCAAGTGTGGTCCTCTTGGCACTGGCTCCAGTTGCTTCCCTTGAGGATGTAACCATCAATGCACTTAAACATGATTTTGTCTCCTGCACTCACAGGCCCAGAATAATTGGTCGTGCCATTTTCCAATACAGGCTCGGGACAGTGGCCCACTGAAGAAGAGAACAGCCAGTGCTCTGAGAGACTAGGAAGAGGTAAAAGCCATATGTCCCCAAGCTTCAGAAAGACAATAGTAACTCAGAACGTAATGGTGCCCGTGTATCTAAGAGAATAGGTATTTTCAAACCATAAAGGCCAAGGTACCATAATTGTGGAAAAACAAGTGGACTGCTGTGTGGAAATTTCCTCCAAAGCTCCCTAAGACCTACGGCCTTCAAGAGAAGGCTCATTAAGACTCTGGAACCTCTAAAGGGAAAGAACTCAGAGCAAGAAAACAGTTAAGAAGCCTCTGGAACATCCTGAACCTGACCAAATTCACAAGGTTCTTACCTCCCCAAGGTTACATCAGCAATAAGGACTGCTGGGAGCTGCTCAGACCACTTGAGTGGCCTGAGAGAGAGTTTTCAACCTGTTTAGCTGCCTGCAAGGTATAGAGAGAGCTGCAGGTTCCCAGCTTTTGTGAGCCATCAGAGCAGCTGGTGGGCTTTCGGTGATGCAGCTGTCTTGGAGTACTTCTGCTCCTGTGAGTAAGCCCTCACCATCTGGAAATAACCTCAGTAAACTCACTGACTCGCCAAGCTGGGCTTTGGTCGTATGCTTAACTACGGTCTGTCATTAGTTCCGTATCTGGGATGGGCAGGCATTTTTCAATGTCACGCAACATGGTCATGCACAAGAATGGTATAAGAGACACCAGAACTGCACTTAATGAAGCATATGACGGGCTATGACCAGTAACATGTTCATTATACTGCTGTGCTATTGAATACTGTTCAAATGTCTACGTTTCAAGCAAATCTTTCCTTTTCTTTCATCTAACCAAATATATATATACTTATTCATTTCTCTTTTCTTATCTGTTTTAATTGTTTCTTTCCCGTTGAAAATAAGGAGTCAATGGAGAGGAATGTAAATTTTTCCATATGAAAGGAACTTGAAAATGTTATGTTTACATAAAATTAACACAGCTTATTAGAAAATAGCAACAACGGGAGCGATCTGGAAGAATTACTCTCTGTCATTGTGGAGCACAACACAGTGAGCTTTGTCACCCGGAGAAAGCCACTTGGCTCTCGCTTATCAGATACATAAACTAAGGATATAGTTTTCTCTAGTTTAAAAGTAAGGTGATGGACAGGCATTGGAGATGTGCCTGAAATCCCAGCACTGGCAGCGGGTGGAAGTTCCAGGTCCCTGGGGGCTACAAATCAAATTCCAGGCCAACGTGATGGGCTACCGTAACAAGATCTTGTCTCAGAATCACCTGGGAGAAAATGCACAGTAGCATCACAGAAATGGAGGGCTTTCTGTTTGTTTGATTGATTTTTTTGTACAATTTTAGCACGGCCTACAGAAAGCAGGATATAATAGGATAAGGAGATGGTGATATGAACAGAAAAACCAAACTCACAGCGGCACTCAGCGGGGGAAACATCCAATTCCTCTGAGATATTGAGGACCAAAGACTGCTTTCCCACCAAGTGGTAGCCTTTGATACACAGGTAATCCCCCAGAAGCTGTCCTTCTACTTCCTTTGCAACCAATACACTATTATCCACTGGAGGAAGTTCTGAACAGCTCTCTGTTGGAAGGAACAAAAGAGTGGAATCATTTGGCATATCACGGGCTGCAAGGGCACCCCACTGTACTCCTCCCTCCAAGTCTGTGTAGACTGATCCTCACACTGTGTCCTCTCTCTTCCATGGTTTGTGTATCCCCATCCCCCATTCTCCAAGAATTTCTAAAGTTATGTTTCCAAACAGATCATCGGCACCGTAGTCAAATTCAGCCACAAGTTATCCATTCCTGAAGAAGCAATCCCTCCCCACGTTCAGTCCTGGAGTTTTTAATAGTTGACATCTCGGGATATTGAAATTGTCACTTTTGGGGGTCCCAGAATAAAAAGAGCAAGTCACCAATGACCACCCATCCCAGGGTACAAGATCACCATTAATATAAACTAGGTCCCCGATGAGTATAGAGCATATACCTTAACTGAGAATTTTTAACAAATACTATAAGTGTAAATTTCATTAAAACCCTACACAGAATGCCTATTAAACCACACATTGACATGAAATATCGTAAGGAAATCACACTTACCATCTAAGGCAGAAATCAGCCACACGAGACAGCATACAGCCCAGCAAAGCATTTGGTGAGCAGTTACTTGACCCAGGGTGAAATTAAACCGTAATTTCAATCAAAAGCATCCTTCTGACCACTTAGGATCAGAACGGCTTGCTTCTAGAGAAGGAGTTATAGTTTCCTCCTGGAACAAATGTGAAAGAAAAAAAAAAGACTTTCCTGTAACAAGGAAGAAGAGCAGAAAAAAGACGATGAATCCAGTGGCTTTGAAACCACAAAAGATGATTACAGAGCGGCCAAATCTAAACTTTTAAGGAATTTCCCAGTTCCTAGAAATGCAAACCCGTTGAGCAGTTCCTTTGAGCTGCGGGTTTATCCTTCCCCAGCAGGCATGGGCTAAATGGTCCTGGACAACCTTGACTTCTGTCAATATTTGCCAGTGTTTAGTCCACTGCCTACAGCTCTCTCCAGCTTTGGGGACAGAAGATGGGGCAATGATCAGTGGCACTTTCCCAGTGAAGACCAAACTGAGCGTCTCCTCTTCCCCACTTTTCTAAATTCTCTCCTGTGCCAGGGATAGCACTGACGGGCAGGTAAGATAACGCAGGCTATGAATGAGTGCGCCAAAGATACAAGAAGGGGGACGCTGAGTTTGTCAGACACTGCAGAACACAGTGGAAAGGCCTAGAGACAAAGTCTACCCAGAGGCAACCGAAGGAGCAACTTTTCTCAGGTGGCAGGCATTTCTCCGTGGGCCATTGTTCTCCATGCTACAGTGTTCTGGAACATGTGAAGTGTTGTTAGAAGCAATGACAGTCTGCTGTTTGAATCAGAAATGGCTTAGCACAACCACCTATCCTGAGCTGGCATCCACGTTCTAGCTAGAGCTGGTTCTGAATGGCTCTGATGGGGGTCTTCCTTGGAGGCAGCCGTGTGGCCTGGCTCTGAACCAAGCCTTCAGTGAGCCAAGGCAGTCTTGTTTTGAATGCCTCAGTCCATCCATCCATACCAGATCAGCTTCCACGTACCAGCTACCTCAGGCCTGTCTCAGTACTGAAGACTGGAAGTTTAAGTACTTCTGGGAAACTGAGAATTCCTTTTTGAGTTCTTAGTCTGACTGATAGAAGAATTTTAAAACAGTTAGAAGGAAACTTGCGAACAGTTTTAAGTGTGAAGGAAAGAGCGGTAGAACAGGCAAGCCTGCAAATCTTGGCATCTGCGGAGAGGCAGGGGGCGGTAGAGAGGAAGTAAAGCTGTCCTGGCGATGGAGGTTGGCAAGGTCGCGAGCAGCTGCTGGGGGCTAGGGGTGGGGCACTTGCAGAGAAAGACCGAGGAATCCCTCCCGGAGTGCCTGGGAAAGCATGCTTCACTCTGGGCATGTGGGAAGAGAGGAAGGGGAAGGTGTATGTTTCTGAAAGCAGACGGCCTCTGCAGTGTTCTAAGGGAAGCAGTTTGCCCGAAGGAGGGTCTTCTGCCAGGATTTTACCTTATTCCCTGTCTACACCTGCCTATTCCTGGGTGCTGCCTGGTTCCATCAACTATTCTTCCCTCTCCTTCACATGGCATCAAGCAAATCAGATTTCCTAATGGGGGAGTGGGGTGGACTCCTGGCCCAGTGACTGGCAGGTCCAGTTGGCTAACTCTTAAAAGAAGACTATTGTATATAATGTTTGGAGAGCCTTAGAATGCAAGCTCTCCACCCAGGGACAGAGGTAAAACCTAGACCGTTATTTTGAAGAAGTAGCTTTACCTTAATAGACCTCAAGAATGACGTTTCAAGTCTCTTGCCAACCCTAAAATGGCTCCCTTAATTAAGATATCTACTTCCTTGCTCCCATATCCACCCCTTCCTTCATCCCAACCATCCCATTCCCCCAAGCTCTCCCCATCCTCCCCTTCTCCCTTCTTTCTCCCCATCTCCCCTTACTCCTACCCCACCCCACCCCCAAGCTCCCAATTTTTGCCTGGCAATCTTGTCTACTTCCAATATCCAGGAGGATAACTATATGTTTTTCTTTGGGTTCACCTTTTTATTTAGCTTCTCTAGGATCACGAATTATAGGCTCAATGTCCTTTACTTATGACTAGAATCCACTTATGAGTGAGTAGAGACCATATTCATCTTTTTGGGTCTGGGTTATCTCACTCAGGATAGTGTTTTCTATTTCCATCCATTTGCATGCAAAATTCAAGATGTCATTTTTTTTTTTTTTTACCGCTGAGTAGTACTCTAATGCATATATATTCCACACTTTCTTTATCCATTCTTCCATTGAGGGGCATCTAGGTTGTTTCCAGGTTCTGGCTATTACAAATAATGCTGCTATGAACATAGTTGAACAAATGTTTTTGTAGTATAATAGGGCATCTCTTGGGTATATTCCCAAGAGTGGTATTGCTGGATCCAGGTGTCCAAGGAGATTTCCCCAGCTTGTTCCTTGGGCAGCTGAGGAGAGGGCGCCTGAACTGACCTTGTCCCATAGCCACACTGATGAATATCTTGCATATCACCATAGAACCTTCATCTGGTGATGGATAGAGATAGAGACAGAGACCCATATTGGAGCACTGGACTGAGCTCCCAAGGTCCAAATGAGGAGCAGGAGGGAGAACATGAGCAAGGAAGTCAGGACCGTGAGGGGTGCACCCACCCACTGAGACAGTGGGGCTGATCTAATGGGAGCTCACCAAGGCCAGCTGGACTTGGACTGATGGAGCATGTGATCAAACCAGACTCTCTGAATCTGGCTGACAATGAGGGCTGACTGAGAAGCCAAGGACAATGGCACTGGTTCTGATTCTACTGCATGTACTGGCTTTGTGGAAGCCTAGTCTGTTTGAATGCTCACCTTCCTAGATCTGGATGGAGGGGGGAGGACCTTGGACTTCCCACAGGGCAGGGAACCCTGACTGCTCTTTGGACTGGAGAGGGAGGGAGAGGGGGAGAAGGAAGGAGAGGAAATGGGAGGAGGGGAGGAGGTGGAAATTTTTAACAATAAAAATAAATAAAACTATTTTTAAAAAGAATGACTTTTCATACAGTGACTTAAATCCTGTGGTGCTTGCCTTTCTATTGTTACCAAGAAAACAAGAGATGGGCTCAAAAGTCAACCAGGAGGGAAGAGCCCAACCTCAAAGACCTCCAAGGCTATTAATACCAGTCCCAACTTAAAGAGGTACATTTAACCTGCTTGTCTGTGGCTTCCCAAAAATGGATTGAGTCTTCAGCTGGCAACCAACAGGCAGTCATTAAATATTTGTAATTCAGTGAATAAATGTCTATCCATGGCTCTCACACCCTGCTGACTTTGAACTGCTAGAGGAACTTGACAGTCACCAACGGAAGAAACTATAATAGCTGGAGACACAGATACCATTCAATAACTTCAAAATCATTTCTCTAAAAACTTTCAAGTACATTTTGGAAAATACTAATATTTGTATATCTGTAATGTACCAAATGATGCCTTTTTGTATGTGAATTGAAAATTTCATTACACCCTTTAATTAAAAATAACTTTATTTTATTACAAAAGCAGTTTATGTAACTCAGACATTTCATCATGGTTTTACTATCCAAGAGAGAACTTTTCTCCAGAGAAATACATTTCTTGGTTTATAATAAAACCAATGAAAAATTTAAAGATGCACTGTCGTAACATAATTATCATTCTTTAACACACATCAGCACTTATGCTCCACAAATCTAACTTCAGGTAATACTACGGACATAGGCTTAGGATTCAAGCCACCTACACAGCTAGCAGAACACAGAATATACATGACATTCTGATTAAATACATGCAAAATCCTCACACACAATAAATACCTGCATAAAAATACCATCTGATCATCAGAAAGGAGTGTACTTCAATGCAGAAGGCAGCCCTTATCCTACCTGCTGCAAGCAGGGGGAAAACTGCCTACACCAAGCAGAGATGGGGCCTCCCTGCAGGTGATGCGCATATAAAGCAAGCTGCAAGTTGGGAGACACTGAACTGCCTGCAGTTCCCATCCTACTCGGGTAACCGGGTAACCGTCTCCAGTACTGTCCACAGTATAAAAAAAAAAAAAAAAAACCATGTAGAAAAAGCTGCGTTTCAGGACTTCTCTTGCTATACTATTTCTCTGCCCAACAAGTGAGCATTTCAAGTGAAAAGGAAACAAACAAAAATAAAATGACAATACACTAGATTCTATCTGGAAGGTACAATACACGGTGGCTTCTGCATTGTTCTTCAGGAATAAATAACAGAAGTGCATTTGGAGTGACAGTGTGTCTACGTTTGACAGTGATCTAGTTACTGCAACTGGATTCGTTTGGAATCCACTCACGGAACAGAGGCCATGCTGCATCTGTCAAGGATCACGGGAGACCAGCTGATCACAGTAGTGACAGCCAGAACAGAGGCATCCATCACAGGACACTGCTCTTGCAGTCATGGCCACAGCTTTCCCAGAGACCACATCAATGAGACAGACCATGTCTGCCTCTGCCCATTTTGAAATTTAAAAAAAAAAAATCCCCAGTGTAACTTATTATGAAGAAGGCATCTTTAGTTCCCAGTGGGATAGAGGTGGTCCCATCTAGCCTTCATTCCCGACCCCGACCCCTCAGGAGGCACGGAACCAGTCCTCTCTGGGCATGTGAGGCACAAGCCTCGGAGAGGAAACAGTAGAGAACATGAAGCCTGGTCCCCTTAGGGGAAGCCTGGCAGCCAGACCCTGCACAGAATATGGAGCAGGAAAAACTTCTCTAAATAAAAAGGGAGCCATGGATACTACTCTTCTGTCACCAGAGAAGAGGCACTTCAGAGCCCAGGTCCTGACAGCCTCTATTTACCTGGTCACCTGTCTCTCCTCACATGGCAAGAGGGAACCGCTAGTACTTATATTGCACGTCAGCCTGCTCACCCGCCTCCCACGCATGCTCTCACTGAGCAAAAGGGTCTTCCTGAAGTTCATCATCACCTAGAAACCAGTTCTAAAGCAGTGCATTCGCATGTCAGGCAAGTCTCCAGCTAAGGATGCAGGCGATCCTAGGTAGACTATTAAATGCCTAAGTAAAATGGCATTTGCAAACTTGGGTCAAAAGAGATTAAGAGTTAACTCATTCAGGCTTCTAAAGAGTTCTGAGGCACAGCGTAGTAGTAATCCTGTTACGCATGAGGGGAAGAAACATGGTGAAGGTTTTCCAGGCCTCATTTTCGGTAGCCTCAAATGAGACACTCCCACTTAATTTCCTGTTCTAGCCTCAGTGTCGCTGGCATCCCAGGCTCTTTAGTGGATCCAGTTCCTCGGAGAGGTCTGGCCTCAGCCTCACACATCAGGACAGCAGTGTGAGGGATGCCATTGAGGGGCGTCTAGGCTCAGTCAGCACATCCTGTACTTCCTAGGAGTCAGAAAGAGAAGCAAAGTCATTACACCACAGCCAAGAGATGAACAAAGAAAAGCGAGAAGAATCCATCCCCAACCCTCACGCCCACATCCGAAAGCATGTGAAGACACACTGGTGTGCCTGCACACACCCTGACCCTGGGGGCTCAGGTAAACTTGAATGGCCTAGCCATGTAATGACTTCTTTCACAGAGAAGCTGACCTTATGACAACAGTAGGGTACATTTCAGGTCTGTTTCAGAACTGGACTCTAAGTTATATACCTGAGATATAAAGCAGAGGTGGATTGGATCTCTGTGGTAATGAAGGCTGTATTAGTCAAGAGACCACACACACACACACACACACACACACACACACAGTAGCAATAAAGCCACGAGCTATATGGCTTCTGAGGAGGGTCACAACTGTTATGGTTACCCCAGTCCACCCTGAAATCAGCAGCCAGAGTAGATCAACTTCTTCCCATGAACTGGTATTTAATGTTTACCTTGTAAGAAATTCTTTCCCTTAGAAAGCTTGTTTCTAAAATATTAAATGTGCCTATGAATTCAGTCACCCAGGGATCTTGTTCAAATCCTGGCTTAGTAAGTTTGGAAGGAAGCCTCTGATTCTGAATTACTAGTGAGCTCTGGGTCCTTGCTAGTGCCGTGTGGGATAAGGCAGGAGAACAGGGGACACCCATTGGTCTTCTGCTCCAGAAGGAGTTAGGTACCATTTCATACCATTGGCTGAAATCTGCTTAGAAACAGGCAGGACATATTTTAGAATCAACTGCTTGGCAAATTCTTAAAGAACTCCCAAAATTTTCTTTACGATATATAACAAAAGTTTTATATGTGTGGTGTGGTGTGGTGTGGTGTGGTGTGGTCTATTATAGTTCTTAGTTCTTGCACAAGTACAGAAGGTGCAAGGGACTTGACAACTAAAGTGGATGCACTGCCAATAATGTCCTTCCCAGCTTCCCCCAGAAGGTGGTGGAAGAGAGCCATACCTATGACCCCGGCTTCCAGGCATTCTGAGAACTTACACTGGTTTGCTAAGTCTCCTGTTCAATATGAGACAGTTTTGAAGACAGTAGATGAGAAAAACAACTCAAAATACAAACATAATAATAATAATAATAATAATACCAGAAGCCTTCGGATAAGGTCAAGTTATTCAACAACTTTATTAACCCATTCTATACAGGCATGCACATAAAACACATTTTAAATACAATTATATACACTTTAAATGGACCCAATGCAATAGTTCATTATCAAAATCACAAGAATAAATCAGAATGCTACTAAGGATTAATATCCCCACTTTTAGCAGAGCTGTGCCTAAGAAATCTGCAATAAAATTCTGTTACTGGGCTTCCCAAGTTCAGCCCATTTCCATCCAAACCAGCCGTGCTCAGCCCCTCTCTGTATCACATGTCCCATTGTGATTGGTCCTTTGCTTATACCACAGGAAAGTCATTACATCTGAGTAAGAAAAACCACACACAATTCAGACGCTTCTTTAAAAACTGAGTCACCTGAATGTTAGTCACACACCCGGTGAAAGGCTTAAGGAAAGAACTACTCTGGCCCACTCTCGGGATCAGTTTGTGGGTGCACCCTTCCCTTTGTATAAGATTAAGGCCAAACACAGAAGACTAAAGCCAGCGGCTCTCTCAGTGAGGACATGGTGGCCCATGACAGAGTCATCTGAGGACACATTAGGTTCAGGAACGGGTGATAAGAGAAAACTCCTGCCTTGAAGCAGCAGACTGAATGAAGTAACTTCAAGTAAAGTCAAAACTTGACTGTTACTGTGACTTCCATAAGTCACAACTCTTACAACATTACCTTACCTAGGTAATCACAAAATCACATGCAATCTACAAAATCATCTTTTAAAAAATAATGAGATGTTGGCCACTATTATATAATAATCATCTATAAAAAGTCCAGTGTACAGAACTTCTTCATAAAGGAAACATGTAAAATATTCAGCTCCTTCCTTGAAGAAATTATAGTAATGTAAATAGACAGAGACATGTAATGTAATCAAGACAGAGACATGAGAGACAGGAAGCAAACAGACCTCTCGTCTTCTAGACACTACAAACAAAATTCTTAGCCACACTTCCAATGAGTGTCCATCACTTCTAGGGAAAATTCGAGATCTTGTGTGGCAGGTCTGCTACCTGGCTCAACTGTTATATAATTTTAAAATAAAATAGCTTTAAAACACAAACAAAACGAATACAAGGAAAACTGGGTGACTGACTGAGACTTCAACAAGTATAATGTTCTTCTGAGACTGGAAGGGCGGGGGGATGCACATGAAACCCATCACTGGAGCTACCTCAACTGCCAATGGGTCTCCCTGTTCACCCGTCACTCCAGGCTAAAGAGCTTCTCTGGAACTCAGAGGACTCACATGTGTCCCAGAAGAATCATCAGGCAGACTTACCTTAACAATTATACTGTTTTCTCAATGAGGTGTCTGAGGATTAACTGTGGCTTTCAAAGAGGACTGTTCAGATCCTTGCCTGAAGTTCCACCATTAGGTCTAGGAACATAAACATGCTGCAGGCCTAACTCTGACTTCTTAGGAGCCAGCAGGGGTGGCAAGCACATATGTAATGCATGTCTAAAAATGATGTGATGATTTTCTTACCAAGAGAAAAGGCCCTACATCAACAGTCAGTAAGTGCTAAATTCTACTTTGGAAACAAGATAGGACAGAAACAATTCTCTAAATTTAGATTCTTCAGGGTTTCATTCAGCTTTGAGTTTAAAAATAAATAAATGAACAAATAAATGCAGACTATTCCTTTCTCTTCCATTGTACACAGGTAGAATTTACATACGAAGATTCAAGTCTTCACCTATTCCTTCCAGAACAAAACTGAAAGTCTCAATACAGGGTACCCACAAGTCATCTTTCTTTGTAGGGCTTGTGACACAGACACAAGCGTAGCAGGGTAACCTCCCACCTGCAAGTAACAAGGGGAACGGGAAAAGATGAGAAGTAGGACTTCCCTCAACTCTGGAAAAAGAGCCCTTTCCAATGCTTTCCTGCTTCTCCCGCTCTGCTCCCCTGAAGGATCTGGCTCTAAAAGCTCAAGGATGTTGAAACCCCTGCTGCTTCTCAGCTGCAACTTCCACTCCTTGTTATCCAGGGACAACAAGACTACCCCAGCTCTTCTTGTACCAGAAGCGAACTAACACGGGAAACCGGAAGAGCGAGGAGTAGACAGAGTCAGAACGATCACCCAGTGAACCGCCCCTACAGACAGTACTTACAACAGGGGAGCCTAGCTCCAGGTGCTCAGAAAAGTCTCCCCTTGCAACTAGATCCTTAATTCTCCCTCTTCCCACTCAGTAGCTCTGAATTACTCTTACCTGGCAACAGAAGAAAGGACTGGATGCCAATTTAGACCAGAGCTGCTAATGACTAAGCAGTAGACAAAGTGCCAGACAAACCGCCCAGCCCACAGCTCATCCTCACACTGAGAGCACATCCCAAACCTTTGGGGTTTCACAGCATAGAACAAGAAAACAGCCAGAAGGCAGGCTATCCTCTACCCAAAAGTCAGCTCTTCTAGTCTGTTTGATTCTTTTACAAATATTAATTTATCAATTAATCTCCTGTCTTTTTAATTTTTATTTTTTTTGTATTTCATACATGAGTACTGTATTCTAGCCCTCCTACTCCCTGTCCAACTCCAAAATTTCCCCTACTCTCTTTCAAGTTCATAATCCCTCCTAGTTGTTGCTGCATTCATATGCATATATACACATACACACACGTGTGTGAATGAAAACCCTCTCCATGAAGAGTCACAGGCAATCAACAGTCGCTGAGAGAGGGAGACTCAGTCTTATCCAGAACAAGTCCCCAATAGATTATCCAGTCCCAATTGATCAGCCCTAAACACACGCATATGCCTGGTTTCTTAAGGGTTGGCTTGTTGTTGTTGCTGTTTTGTTTGTAATCTCCAGGGCAAGGAAATTGAAAATGTTTGTTTTGTTTTATCTTTTTGCATATATTTTCCTCACTAAGGCCAGTGCCCACAAAGGTCAAGAGGGGACAATGAACACTACCTAACAGGAATTGCCAGTTTCTTAGTCTTGGACGAGTTTCAGGAATCTAAGCAGTCTGAAACAGACTGAAGAGGCTATGTGGGCTGGAAGGCCACGGGGCTCCAGGCCAGAAGTCAGTAGCCTGTGATGATGCCCTCCATCAGCTCATGGGCTCTATCTCCGTGTACCTTCAGCTTGCATGGATTCTCAGTGTGAGTCCAAGGGTATGTGTTTAAGTCAGTAATGTGGTGCACTCACCTGTAATGCCAAGGGAAAAGATGGGACTAGAACCTAAAATACCTTTCTAACAAAGCAGCCTCCCTTTGAGGGGGTAACTCATTCAAAACTGTGCTCTGCCCCAGTATCAGAACCAAGAATTCAGAATTTCCAGTCTGATACATATTTGTCTAAGATAACAAGATGCTGGCATTTTTCTATCCAGCTTCATAAACTGGGATTTAAAAAAAAATATTTTGTTTAGTTTTATTTATGTCTATGTGTATATGAGCTGCACATAAGAAAGCGCCTGTGGAGCCCAGAAGAGAGCCCCAGATTCCCTGGAACTGGAGTTACAGGCTGCTGTAAGCCACTCGACATGAGTGTTAGGGACTAAGCTCTGGACCTCTGGAAGAGCAGCATGTGCTCTTAACGGCTGAGCCATCTCTCCAGCCCCTCAAGGGCCTTCTGACCCTTCATGGGCTGACCACTAAGGAAGTAATTTAAACACCACATATCTAGGCTCCAATCCAGAGATTTTGAGGCAGTGCCCAGCCTGACCAAGGGAACGCAGGCATGTATGTATTTCAAAAATTCTCCAGCAGTCTGATGTCTGTCTCTGGATAAGAACCATGCAAAAATCTTTTATCCCAAGACAAAAATCTCATAGAAAACTGCTACCCTTCTCTCACCAGTTGGCCCCACATGACAAACTGAGAGGTAGGGAGTCACCTGTCTCTTCTGAAGAGCCTCCTGAGACCTTTAGATCTGTCCCTTAGAGAAGTGACCTCGAGTGGACTGGTACAGAGCTCAACAGACGGCCCTGAGCCACTGCAGAGAGAATCCCCCTTAAGCAATAGATACATATAAACTTCCGAGAGCCAAGCCTCAGGAGACTCCTTGGACTACTGAGATAGTTTCTCAATATAAACAAAATGCCCCAATAAGAGAGGTTAAATTCAAAACTTTTTTATGCTCAAAAAATAATTTTTCATGTAAAACCTTAGCTTAAGGAAATTATTCTAAAAAGTACCGGTAAACGATGAGCAGCTTCACTGAACTTACTGACCACCCTGCCTTTTGCCTGGAGAAATTCAGGGCTCAGTGTTGGATCCTGGTGCTTTTAAACAGTCCCAAAGGTCATGGGCTGCATGAAAGCTACTGGAATTGTGAAGAAACTGAGAGACACATGACAAAAAGTCTGAACCATGAATTTGTAGGAACTAGACTTCGCCCTACCCAGCCCCACTCCACAGCCAACAAAGGACTGTCCGGCTCCTCGAGTTAGTAACACAAACCAAAACACGTCCACATCCTTAGAGCCAGCTCCCCAGGGCAGCAAGAACTCAGGGCTGTTTCTCATGAAAAGAGGCAAGAGCTCTCACCCTGTCCACTTGCAAACTCCAGGGCTTTCTGTGGATGTTCTGTAGCCTGGGCTGCCCCTTGCAGGACCTGGCTGGAGAGGAAGGCAGAAGGGAAAGGAAAAGACTCTCCCAGTACAGATCCAGACCCACTTGCAGACAGCACCAATGGGGCTCAGACTCCTATCAACCACCCCTTACTTTAAGACACCACAATGCCATGCATCACACCAGACAACCCAAAGCGAAGCTGTAAGACATGGAAGTCAAATGGAGTGTAGTGACAGTTTAAAAGGACACAGGTGAAGGACAAATGGGTTTTCTATCTCCCTCTATTCAGCACTCCCTCCCAACCCACCCTCTCCCCCCCACCACCACACACACACACACTTCACAGAGACATTAGTGGGTCAGACATGAGGAAACAGAAGAACCAAGTCCATGACTCATGCTTGGCTCCTCTTCCTTTAGACCATCCCATCTGGGAACCTGTCCTAAAAAGACCCAACTTGCCATCTTGCCCCCGGCTGAGGTATTTACACTAGAGAATGGCTAAGGCTGCTCTGCACACGCATGAGCTCATATTCCATGTTCAGATTAATGCTGGGACGGGAGTGGGGTAAAGTTAAATGACTTCTTGGCTGATTAGTGGCAAGGGCAAGAGGCCAAAGCTGGAGGGAAACACACAATTACACCACCGGAATGCTGACTTGGGTCTTCGGCTGGTCCGCCCCTTCTTGCATGTCCAGGGCACGGAGAGGGCTGAGGGGCTTGAGGGGCCGGCTCCCAACACTGTAATTTCTTGGACGCCTTATTGTGTTCGAACTGGACAGAGGCGTAAAGCTGTTCCTTCTCATCCTTACAGGGGTTTGGCTCTTGGGGAAGTTGTGCTGATTGGAAATGGAGGGACACCACATACATGAAAGCCATACCAAAACCTTACCCATAGAGGTCAAATAATGCTCCTGAGCGTAACCGTTCTTCCTCCTGCTTCTCCACACACAGGACCAAGCAGGGCATAGTCTGGGCCCACAGCCCCAGAGGAATAAAAGGGTCATCACAGGAGAAGATCTCTGGGGACCACGTTGAAGAGCAGTAGTAAGGGAGTCAACAAGGGTGTTTGCTTAAGACCATACAAGTTACAAGACCAGACCAAGGAGCTGGCCTGCACCTGCTGACTATACTGGCAGTGACTCCCTAGACCCTATTTTACAAATGGAGACTTCCCTGGGAGTGCAGCAAGGGAGTTCATACATTTCACTTCAGCCAAACTTTCAGCTTTCTATACTGAACTCAATTCCCAGGAGCTAACTCTCAGAGCTAAGATTCATGAAAGAGACACTCATTTAAAGAACTAAAAATCCCTTCATGTTTCCCTCTCAGAAGTAAGGAGACCTTTATAGGCCACGATTCTGGATTTGTTTTCTTTGCACATAAAAGAAACCCAAGTCTCTGGATACAAAGATTCAAAGACTCAAGGCAACCAGGAAATACTTACAGTTGGTTTATCACGATGTGTGTCCACAGCCTCCACATTGAGTTGAACTGTTTCCACTTTGCAACCTGAAAAACAGCAGGAAAGAAAAGCTGTCAGAGCTAGGCATGGTGGCTACTCCTGAAATTCCAGCACTTGGAGGCTGAGGCAGGGAGATTGTCATGAGCTCCACACTACCTGGAGTGCCAGGCTAGACCCAACTAGTCCCCAAAACAAAACAAAATAAAACTAAGAAATAAACAATCAACTAAAAGAGGGTAGGGGTAGAGAAGAAAGCCACCAAGAAGCAGCTCAAACAAAAAAACCTTCAGTCCCAGCATGGTCGAGTATATGCTGGGGGCATATGTGTACTCCCAGAGAATCGCACGTGCATATGTTCAAGTGGAAGCTATTAACAGAACATCCCTGCTCTACAAAGAACCATATATCCTGACGTTCCACAGTCCCCACCTCTCCCCAGCTCAAGCTCATAGTTACCATAGGCCACAGGAGTAAGTTTGAAGATGGTGTGGAGAGGACACCTCAAGTATGGTAATTCATCTGAAAGAAAAAAGACCCGGTGAGCAAAGTCTTAGTGTACAGAATAAGGTCATCTGAAGAAAAGAGAATCTAGGAGGCTCATGACTGTCCCCTGGAGCAGCACAGCTCCTCCCCTAAACTCGGCAAACTGAGTGATAAGGAAGGAAATAAGGGCAATGTAGATCTGAAATGCAAGGAAAAAGGAAGGGCTCTGAAGCCAAGGCCCCTGGAAAGGACGACTATGGCCTACCTGAGCACTCCAAAGCAGTCAAAGGCTTCAAGCGGCCTGAACTTGAAGGACTGGGGAAAGCCAGGCCACAGTAGTGCTTCCTGCTGCTGTTCTAAAACAAGTGCTCTACCCCAACCCGAAGGCTCAAGACAGTTCTAGTGACCAACCCGCAAGAGCTAGACAGACAAACTGCACTATTCAACCGCCCGCCTTGATGCTGCCAATAATGTCAGCTGGAGCTGGCCCTTAGGCACATCAGGAAGCATCAAACCAGTCATCCTCACTGCTGGCTTTGGTAGCAGCAGACTGAAGTGGCTGACCAATGGCTGCTGGGAGCTCCACACTGCAGCCTCAAGAATGTACTTTAATATGCGTGGAAGAAAAGGAGAGCCAGTGGTCAAGAATCCTGGTACCACCAAGTCCAGCCTTGTCCCAGTGTGTGTGCTTCTCCCCTCCCCCATCCCTTCCCTCGGAGAGCACCTGCTCCTTTATCCAAGAAGTAGGCCAGGAGGCAGCGCATGACAGCCTGGTGGGAGATGACGAGGATGTTGCCCTGACGCTCCAGCTCCATGATGACAGGCTCGAGTCGCTGCACCAAGTCCTGGTATGACTTCAGAAGAAGAAAGGAGAGCTGGTGAGAGGCCAGGTACATGCTGGCGGCCAACTTGTTGGCTATGTGCCAGAATCAAGAGACTACTCTGGGAGGCGTGGTGCCTCTGTGTTGCCTAATGGCTCCAACCCTGGTTCCCTCAGACTATCCAGATCTTTCAAGAGGAATATTTAGACTCAAAACCACAGTTTAAGAAATGCAAATGTGAATTCAGTTTCCTTCTCTTTTACTCACAGACACTAATAGGGAGTGTGCAGAGCATCAAGCTTCCTGAACCTCTGCCATGACATTTCATTTACCTTCGGCACATGTACCCTAGGTTAGGAAGCCATTTCAGTAAGGACAGTAGCTAAAACATGGTAAGGAAGAAACTCATGCCCCATACTCACTTGGTCACTCTATCTGCTGTAGGAGTAGAGTAGAGGGAAAAGAAGCAACATGATCATGCTCACTCTATAACACTCTCTGTCACCCTGTCCCCTAGAGAGCTTTAAAAACTAACGAGATGTAAAGCACTAACTGTCTAAGCTGAATTAGGCACTGTGGCTGGCCAAAGGCAGGGGAACAAAGGATTGTCATGTCACCCCTTTTCTTCCCCTTAAGAAAAGTGCCCAGCAAAGCACCAGGCAGCTGCTCCAAGTGAATGAAGCCTCACCTCCCCACCAGGATATCGATACAGGTACTTCTCTTGATCTCGAAGTGCAAATTCCTCTGGGTACTGTTTCTCAATCTCTGCATATGTCATCTCCTCACACACGCCCTACAAGAGCCATATCAACTCATCAGGACATGGGCGGTCCCACATCAACACATCCCTGACGAGGACCATGACACTGAAGAACAGCAGTGCCTCACTATGTGTGGATGCCATGTGCCATCCTTCCCTGTACTGCACCCGTCTGTGGCCACAAGTCAGGGGTCACTAGGTGCCATGGAAACGAGGCACTTCAGAGAGAGGTGGTTTCTCTAGCTTGAGCTGCCACTCTGTCCTACTATTGCAAGGGAAGCCACAGGTCAGCAAGAGTCTGCAGGACAAGAGGAGCAG